ACCCATGGGTTCCCCCCCCCCAAAAAAAAAACCACATGTGATCAAATCTAGTGGCCAGTGATCGCTATGATTTTGCTGACTGAAAACACTACAGATCTGCAAAAAACAAAAAAATCAACAGTTATTAGAAAGGTCACAGTTGGGTCCTCCCATGCCATCTCATTCTCTTGCGTATAATATTACTTTCAGCTAAGAGCTGGGGACATAAACTCAGGTATACAGCTGTAGGTTCTGTTGTGGTGCTTATCCCATTGGCAACCAGATCACAAGACCAAAGGCAAAAAAGATGGATGGTAAAGATGGGGTCCACCAATGGCAGACACTTCTCTATGGCTGATTAAGAGAAAGAGAAACCTGTTTGATTACACAAATAACACCAGCCTGCCCCTGTATGTCATTTAAAAACTTGCAGAATTGTAGACAGACTAAGGAAATTGTTGAAGCCCGGAGTCATAAGCTTACAGAATATTTTTTTCTACCTACAAACCAAGGGAACTCCAAGGAAATCAATAATTGAAATTGTGGATATCTGTGGCATAGCACAGTCCCAGTGGGTCATCTACTCAAGGGGCAAATTTGCAGGTTTTGACCCCAAGCCTACCTGAGCAGAAAAAGAGGGCAATGTCACGAAGGTAGGGCAAAGTGTTGGTAGTAGTTGGTCTGTGCACCAAACATTGTTCACAGTGGGAATGCATGAATTTCCTGTGGGGTACACAGACACTACAGAAGGACAGGTAAGAGGCATTTTGCTATTACCCCAGCTAAGAACTGTGTTGCAGGTGAAGCAGCTCTAGGAGCTCTAGAAGTTGCAGAAAGATTTTAGAAGAATCAAGTCAGAGATAGCTATCCTATATTAGACAGTTAAAATGTGAGGAGCCCCTTCACCCACCCCCAGTCCTATCCAGGGTCTCAGAAGGCTGTATTCACAGTCCTGCCACACAGAGAGTTTTGGGAGACTGTCACCATGAGCCTTAGGAGAAGTAGCAAAAGAAGACCCTGCCAAATGGCTGTCAAGGACAGATTGTGTGCACAAAAAAGATTATTCAGAGTTTAATTTGGAAATTAATGTTTCATTTATTCAAAACCCTCATTCTTTCTGAAGCTTTTAAGTTCAGCCTACAGAGCTTATTATTCTATTTATAGTGCTAGCAATCATTAACAATTGCCTTTTAAGGGATCTTTGATTAACACTTAGTCTCATTTACAAATGTAGTTCAATTCCTTCAAATATTTTAAGTTGCATTTATACATTAAATTATTAAATATGTTTAATTTCCCTTTAAGTTCCCAGTTGTCTGATTTAGTTAAAAGGGCCTCCTACATGCTTGAATAACTCATAAATCTAATAAAGTAAACTTATAAATAAGATTAAACTGAAGACTGCTTAAACACTCTACTGCAAATATATACTCTCAGTAAGATTTCTAACTAGAGCCACAGGTTCAAATCAATCACTCCATCATTGTGAACTAGAATTGCAAGATTTTCTTGCTGTAATAGGCCAGATTCTCTTAGCACAAATACCTAACATACCACTTTGTACAAATTCCTTATCAAAAATGTAATATGAGTTTAATGGTCTTAAATACTTCTAAATAAATCTAATTCTAAACTCCCTGGGGCTCAGTACTTCCTCATTGTATCATACACTTTCCCATAACTGTCAACACCCATAACTTAAAGGAGAAGAGGTTGTTTTGTTTGTTTTTCTCCGGTACCGGGAACCGAACTCACGACCTTGCGCTTGGCAGGCAGGCGCTTTTGCCGCTGAGCTAAATCCCCAGCCCGAGAGAGGTTTGTTTTGATTCATGATTTCAGAAGTCCATAGTTGGCCAGCTCCAAGGTGGCAGCAGCATGGTGGAAGGCTGCTCATTCCATGGCAGCCAGGAAGCTGAGAGAGAGAGAAGGGAGAAGCCTAGGGACAGAATATACCCTTCCAGGTTATGCCCCGGTGATCCACATTCAACTAGACCCTACCTCCTAACCATATGTCAGCTGTGAACTCATGAATAGACTAATCTAGGGATCCCCAACCCTGTGAGTCCAATACTAGTCCTTAACCTATTAAAAACTTGATTGGAAAGCAAGAGGTAAACTGCAGGTGAGTGAGAGAAGCTTCATCTGTATTCACAACCACTTCCCATTCTCAAATTACCACCTGAGCTCCACCTTCTGTTGAGTCTAATAGGAGTACAAATGCTACAGTGAACTGCACATGTAAGTGATGTAGATTGTGAGCTCCTTTGAATCATCCTGGACACCACCATTACTACCCCACCCTCCACCTGTAGAAAACTTGTCTTCCATGAAACCATGAAACCAGTCCCTGCTGCCTGGGGACCCCAGGATTCATCCACTTCTGAGTATAGCACCTCTATAGTCCAGTCACTTGAAAGCACCACTTCTGAACACATAAGGCTATGGGGATATTTTAAATCTAAACCATAACATTCATTAAGAAAGCAATTAGGTTATTCAATAGCTTTGGAAGAAAGCTCCTCACTTGTTCAGTTTGGATGACCAGTAAGGAGCAAGGGCACACGGTCCACCACACCCATATCATCCAAGTTCAGGGCCACCCTTGGAAATCTGAATTTTCCAACCAGATGCCTTTTCATTTGATTGAATTTTGTGTTATTGGGCATCCTATAAGTGGGTAAGATATTTATATGCACTCCTTCCCAGTTCTTCTTATTTCTTAGGCCAAAAAAGTTTTACATTTGTAAGAGCTAGTCAGATGGCTAATAAATTGACATCTAATTGAATTTTGGATTGTTTTTTATGGCTTGCTCAGTGCATAAAATTAGCACCTCCAAAATTATTCTATGCACAGTGGCCAGCTCCCTGGGATGGCCCCTACACTCTTTCTTGTCCTTGGCTTTTAATCCACAATTCCAGTTCAGGTGAAACTCAGTCTCCTACAGGTTACAGATGACACAGATCAGTTTTAAACTAGAAAGAGGAAGAGATGAGGTAGACATCTTAGACTGGATTTCCTAGACTTCTTAATGACTAAAATGAGTGTGGAAAAATAAGGGTTTGTCTGAGATTTCAACAAAGAGAAGCGATGGTAGATTCAATTTTGCTAGTGGAAGACAAATGATTAGAAAATTCTTGTTTCATGTTTGCATGCAATGGAGTTCAAGCTGTTTAATAAGCATGGAGCATTTGGGAAAAGACAGTTTACTTCTTATTAAAGCCCAAATATGTCTGGTTCTAACTGCTTTTATTCATTTTGGGGTATACAGACACTTCATCTCTAATGTCAAATTTTTTGAGTCCCAGTTGCTGATCGTAGAACAAAAAGAAAAATCCTTCCAATGTCTTGTTGTGGTCATCTCCCAAGTAATAGTTTGCCCCTTGCAGAAGCCCACTGGTAAGTGTCTGTCCTTAATTCTGTCTTTCTGTGTCACCCCCAGATTATTTCTACTTCTTCATGGTGGTTTTCATGTCTATACCCTCTGCTAGCTATAGACTGATGAACAAACATTTATAAAGCATCCCAGATTTAGGTCCCTTTCCAGGGCCACCAGAAAAACTTTAGCTCTCACCTTCCCCTCCTCTTTCTAAATGCTTTCTTTTCCATTATATATTTAGCCCCCTTTGGAGAGAGCAAGTACCATAATTGGAAAACCATCTGGACAAATCCAGACAAATCACACAGACCCAGGCTGAAGAATCCTTTTCTCAGCATGCCCCAGGTCCCTGGACTAGAATAGGTCCTCTCCATGCTATAGACTCAAGTGAAGCCCTACCACCCACCATGGCTGTGCTTCCAAAATAAAAAAGGAACTCAAATTGCAACCAAAGTGAGAAGACCAGGAGAGGAAATTAAAATCCTTTAGTTGTAGTATATTAAGTCATTGCAGCACTCAAAGGCAGCCATTCATATCATTCAAAAAGCCCAGAATAAATGTTTCAGTAATGAGACAAGCAGAAAGTAGCTTGTCACCCTGTGATAGTCTTTCTGCAAAGAGTCTGATTTAAGGTTGGTATCAGAGCATGAACCATGCTAAAATACAATTACAAAAGAAATAGGAATTTCATTAGTGGATTGTAAGGAACAGCTTAGAAGGCTGGCGAGAGCTGATAGGTGACAGCAGAAAGAAAGAGGGAAGAAGGGCACAGTGCATGATGGGAAAGGGCACTTGTCCCTTTGGTACCACACTGAGGAGGAAGATGGATAGGCTGATTTCAGGGAGATGAAAGGAGAAGATGACTTCCTTCTATGAGTTGAGATTTATAGCCCCTTAAGATTTCACTTTTTATGAGCTACCACTAGAGTTACTGCAACCCTATGTCTTCCTCTTTGCATCTTTCCCAATGCACCCTCTTTCTCTGTTAATAGAACCCTGATTGGCTGTAGAAAATGTCCTTCTTGGGGGATTTTGGTAAAAAAAGAATTAGGTGATTGGAAGTTGAAGTTCCAGTTCTGCCCAGCAAGTAAATAAATCCTTTTATAAACCTTACTTTTCTGTGTGTGATACATAAATACTGGCACATATCAGGTACTCAAAGACAGAAAGCTGATTATTGCTTGGTTTCAAATGTGCTGATGAAATCAGTGTTCTCAACAGTGGAGATGAGTGCAACCAAAGCGAACCAAGATGCCTCGAAAGGTGTGAGAAGAAAATCTCAGAATTTCTATTGATAGGTATATTTTTAAACTAAAAAACACGAATAAAATTAAACCTTGCTCATATCTACTTGCTCAACTGGCAGTTATTATTAGATAATTTGCTTTTAAAAGTACCTAGCACATATAGTAAACATTATAGAAAGGTTTGCTATGGTTATATAACTCATGTAGAAGTGTATGTATGTATGACTGTGTATGAGGTAAGGGCTCAAATTTACTTTAGACTTCAGAGATATGCAATTTAAAATACTGAGGCCACTGTTTAAGCAATTAGTGATCCAGAGACAAGGAAAAAGAAGAGAAAGGAATAGAAGAATTTAAAATGAAAAATCAAGGATAGGACACAATTAGAACGAGGTACCTGCAGCTTGACAGCATTTGCTCAGTGGAATTTCCTCCTGGTCCTCCATCTTCACTACCCAGAACTCCAATCCCTATGGAGAGAAGTCTGGCTTAAGATCATCCTACTAGTCTGTGTATGACCCAGAATTCCAGTCCTTTGAAATCCTGAGTGCAGTTATTCTCCCCTAAAAAAAGAGAACATATTCTAAGTCTCATTCTTGCTATCTTCCCTCCAGTGGTGGTGATGGTTGGTGGAAACCAAGGGTCCTTTCCCACAAGGATGAGCATGTATCTTTCAGTACACAGCTCTTTAGTAGTACCTAAGGGAATCTCAATACCAGAAAGGATTTCAAATGCTAGCCAAGATACAGGATGCTTACCACTGATTACAGTGGAAAATTCTTGAGCACTATAGAAAAGGAAAGGATCAACTATCTGATGGGCTTTAAAAACTAGACAGTAGCACTCAGATTGGATGGAAAAATCAAAACAACCTGTAAGCAACTGAGGAAGCCCTTTGATATTTACCCCCCTTTGTCTCTCTTTTTTGACTGAAGGGTGTCCCCAGTTGTGGAGCTTGGTAGCAACAAGCAAAACGTGTGAGATGCAAATAAAACAGTGCTTACAGGGAGATTTAAAGCATTAAAAACTTATATAGAAAAAACTAACGGCCTTGTGTTAATAAAGCTTCCACCTTAGAAAGCAGGGAGGAAAAGAGTCAATTGAACCCTGAGCAAGCAAACAGAAGGAAATAATGAAGATAAAACCAAAAATCAATGAATTTGAAATGAGAAAAAGAATGGTGAGAATCAATGAAGTCATACTTTTAAGAGATCAATGTTATGATTTAAATCTAAAATGGCCCCTAAAGCCTCATGAGTTTGGTAGGAGATCGGATTAAGCAAGCATTATAGCAGACTTGCTGTTAGAAGGCAGGCTCTGGTCAGAAAAGGCAGATCACTGTGAGCATGATCTGGAAGCGTACAGCTCCCTTCTCTACTCATCCCTTGATTTTTCTGCTTCCTGTCCACCATGGGGTGAGCAGCTTCTCTCTACCATGTACCTCTGCCATGCTAGTTCTTCTTGGGAGCTTGCCAACCATAGACTGAAATGTGAGCTAAAATAAACCTCTCCTCCTTAAGTTGTGAGTGTCATGTATTGTGTCACATCAATGTGAAAGTGACTAAGACAACCAATAAAAATGATGTTAGCCACATGGATCAAGAGAGAAAACACAAGCTGCAAACATAGAGTTACATTACAAATATGAGATCACTATAGATCCCACAGACACTAGAAAGGTAGCAAGAGAAGATTATAAAAACTTTATTCTCATAATTTTGAAATGCTGGATGAAATGAATCAATTCCTTGAGGATATAAACTACTGTAACTTATTCAAAAGAAATAGACAATACAAATAATCTTCTTTATGAAACTGTATTTGTAGTTAAGACATTTTCAAAGGGGGGGGGAAATCCTCCAGTTTCATGTGGTTTACTTGGTGAATTCTACCAGACATTTAGAAAAGAAATTCTATCTTTCTACACAAGTTCTTCCAGAAATTTGAGGATGTGGAACACTTTCCAACTTATTTTATGAGGTCAAAATTATACCAATGTCAAAATCATAGAAAATATTACAAGAAAAGATACTACTGATCAACATATTTATGAACCTAATACCAAAAATCCTCAACAAAATATTAACAAATTAACCCCAGTGATATTTGAAAATAATAATATATCATGACCAAGTTTAATTTATGCTAGGAGTACAAATCTACTTCAGTGTTTGAAAAATACAGCAATATGCTATCTCCACTTGGAGAGCCTTAAAGACAGAGTAAAAAGAAAAAAACCTTACAGGAAAACCTAGCAATGACTGTTTCTATGTCCCTTGGTAACAATTTACACTACATTTCCCTGATCTTGTTTTCCAATTCTTAACCAAAAAAGACCTGGAGGGAGCTCAGCAGTGAGCTCTCAGATGGTACTGAACACATTAATTCCAGAAATATTTATTGAGGAAGACCAAGGGAAGAACATCACCAATTCAAGTCTTGCGTGGACTACATAGCTAGACCTTACTCCAAAGATCAACATACCAACCAACCGACAACACTTATTGGGCAGCCATGAAAACTGTGGTCAATGCTGCGGGCAAAATGATGAGGAGAAAAATCAACACAGTGCTTCCCAGAGCCTACTGGGAAAGATCTAATTTCAGGACCTTAATAAAGATCAATAGAACCAATGCCAGTTTAGAAAAATACAAGTAAAAAATAATATTCTCTTTAGAAATTAGCCAACTTCTCAGCTTTCTTTGGAGTTCAATACACTTGGCAAAACTACCACACACAAAAATGTGACTGTCCTGTGACCTTTTTCTTTCTAAATTGACTCTGAGATCTGGGTATTTGCTGATCCTTCCTTAACTAGTATCCCCTGGGTATTCTAGGAAATGATGAGATTTTTGCAACAGTCCCCTGGTACCCACATGCAGACTGAGGCAGGCCTGCCAAGTATGCTGACTCACATCATTCCTTTCCCACCACCAAATGATATTCCAAGGACACCACGGGAGCTGCAGCCACCTGGGAGGCAAAGCACGAGCCAAGATGCTGCCCAGACCCAAATCAGCATCAATGTGGTGTGGGGCAAGGAAGGTCAACCTGCTCCTGACTCAAACTCTCCCACCTCTAATCTCCTTGGTGACTGGTTCTACTTCCTTAAGCTCACCAGAGCCTCAACTTCCTTTTTCTGAGATGCAGACTTAGAAGGAAAAAAAATCACACACACACACGCACGCACACACACACACAGATCTTCTTTCATGGGAATCTGAAAAAAAAATGAACTGGATACCAACTAGAATTGTAGAACATAACAAGGCCTTAGGAAGCATAAGATTTCTCCCTCACACTGCTTTGGTAGCTTTGCTAGACATGGAAAAATTTATTCTGAGACTGTCTCCAAAGCCAAAGAGATTCTAGCTTTCCTTGAGGGGAGGTAGACCTCAAGTCTCCCAAATTTCTCCTCCATAAGACCAATTCATTCAGAGGTCAACAAGTCTCATTTAACTCTTTCTCCTTCAGCTCAAGTTAGTCCTCAGTAGGCTGCCCTTCTGGAACTCCTACTGCCCAGGTGGACATTCAGCCTGGGGGTTATACACCTCTGTTTCCCATCATTTCAGGATGATCCAGGATGACATGTGTACCACCTCCCCAGCCAAGTGGCATCACATTGCATGGAAAAGCATTATTCCCACAAGTTCAGTTAGTGTCTAAATGGAAGGAAAAGTTAGGGCATTGAAGCTCACAGGCAAAACCACATACGGGATGGGAACTATAGTAACTGCTTCATTAAATTCATACAGTTGTCTGTCCCCGTACGCCTACTCTAATTGGGCTAACTACATCTTCTTTGTGTTCCTACAAATTCACTCAAGGCATATCTCCACCAGTGCACTTAACTATCTAGACCCTGTCTCTACTCACCAATCAGCCTGTCACATACTTGAGAATGTGAACTTTTCATGGTCAGGATGTTGTCTTATTCAGCTTTATATTCTGTTGTCAGTAGAATGCATGTCAACAGTATCCAATAAATGTTTGTTGAATAAATGGAAAAAAGTGACTGTCTTTGTTACTGCTGAGACAAAATACCAGATACCCAAATTTAAAGTTTATAGAGGTTTCAGTCCATTATTGACTGGCTCCAAGTGAGGGTACAGGGTAGTGTGGCAGAGGAGCATCACAGAGGAGAAATAGTTTATGAGGAGCAAAAGCCAACAAAAGCAGCAAGCAGTAGGCAACAAGCAATGACTCTCTTTCTGTTATATATATATATTTAATTATAATTACATATTACAATATATTATAATATAATATGACTGATATATGTATATTCTATCCAGGCTACCTGCTCTTAGGCTGCTCACATCAAAGTGGGCCTTCCCATCATCCCCACCCGGAACTATCCCAAACCAATCAGTACACTAATTAATAATCACACAGTCTTGATCCCAGCATCCCACACTTAATCCCAGGATCACAATACTCTAGATCCAGCCACCTCTGAAAAGCCCCACCTATGACCACATGAGGCTTTGGGGGACATCTAGGCACAAACAATAACAGTGCTCCTAAATGAGTATAAAAGACGGCCCTGTAAGCATGCCATCTAAACATTTTACCTCCAAGCCCAGAGGCCTTGCATTTCCCCATAGTGTCATAAATGAATGAATAATTCTACAGGATAAACTGGCTGCCTTCTGGGCTTTTCTCTTAAATGTAGGCTGCTATCAGGGCTGCTAATACCATTTCCCTGGGTGTACCACAGAGGATGCCAAGCATTATTAGTCTAAGGTGTTTGCTTCATGTAACAACTTGCTTTTTAATGAGCTTGTTTATCTCACCATCTTGGATGTTAATATTGTTGAGAGGGAAGCATGCTGATTGACTGTTACCCGGCAAGGATGGAAATCTCCAGAGAGAACATCAAACGCACTATGTGCTAACAATTATTCAATAACTAAGCTCTCTTTCAAAAGAAAAAAAGAGGCAGAAAGAAAAGGAAAGGTTGATTTTAAGAAAAGCAATAGAAAAATAGGAAAGTTGCTCAGATTTCCATCTCTAAGCTTCTAGCAGAGTATGTGAACTAAACTGATTATCTCAAATTCACTTTGCAGGTTGAGACCTGGTGCCTATGGAACTGCAGGCTCCCCTCTGAGCCACCCACTTTACAGGAGGAAAAATAAACCCTGAGCACATAGGCCAGGGTGAAGGTTGAATAGTATGTCTTTACCAAGGTGTCTGTTTGTAATTTGAGTTCTCACTTCAGCAGTCTGCTTATTGAAATACAGCCCTTTACTTGGAGGACGGCTTCTGTGCTCATTCTGTGTGCTAACTGCCCCCTCTCCAGATGCATTCTCCACTCATCTCTGCCCTACTGTGGGATCCCTAGCCTCTCAGACACCTGGCCTAAACTGCCCTCCCTTTGGCTTTCAAGACTATCAAAGCAGAGAGAAAGAGGACAGAGAAAAGTATCTCTCCCCTGTCCCACCCTGCTTCACCATCAAGCCC